TTTATAAGCAATATTAATCATGAGGTCTATAATATTATAATCATACACGATTGCAATGAAAAGAATGTATAATATTAGATAACATTCGTCAATAAAAACAATGTTCCATGTTTTGAAAATCTAACCAACAATTTGAAACCAGTCCCTCAAACCAGTCATTCTAAGATAATTATCTGTATCTTATCAGCAGCCAGAAACACTGTATAGCTTTATTGAAGGCACAGCCTTGACAATTTTGCTTAATAGACTTCCTCGTTCCTGTTCTTATTGTAGGTGTTATCTTGATCTTCCACTGACAATCAATCATGTCTAGGAAAGTGCTTTGTGCTATCTCATTGATTTCATGGTCTTAAAGTGTGTCCAACTGGCACAATCAATCAGTTTGAATCAACCATATCTGGATCAACTGTCAAAGATATGGGTGAGTAATTAATAAAGTGGATTGAACTGACACAATCAATCAATTTGAATCCACCATATCTAGATCAAGGGTCAAAGCATCTACCCCACACTGTTTTAATTTTTGTCAACAGATTTTTTTTTGTACATTCCAAAAGTATGCATGCCATACTGAAGACAGATTGATGATTATGCATGCCATATGGATGACAATCTGTGACAGATTGTGAGAGGAATAAAAAAAAGAAGCAGAACCCCCTCCTGCTACCCCTGCAGCATTTCAGCTTAAGGCTGGTCTAGAATGAAATAGATGATGATTATGCATGCCATATGGATGACAATCTGTGACAGATTGTGAGAGGAATAAAAAAAAGAAGCAGAACCCCCTCCTGCTACCCCTGCAGCATTTCAGCTTAAGGCTGGTCTAGAATGAAATAGAGCACATAATGTAGTACCGGTAGTATAAAAATTGAAATGATGTACCAACAAATCTGTCTCTGCATATTTCAAAACATTGTTTTCAGTGGAGTAATGAAATACAGCAAAGTGACGCAAACCTTACTAAAACTAAAACACCACATGCCATGTAAAATTGAATGACAATTTTTGTTTTGCTTACAAGCCCTTTTCAAGCCAGTAACTTGTAAGCAAAACAGGAGTCATCTGGTCCCACTATGTGCAAATAAGAATGACAAATAGGCTACATTATTATATTATACTACATATTTTAACCAATAATTTTCAATGAACCTTTTCCTAAACCCTATTTGGAACCAGAATGTGTTCTAACAGTAGCTGTGCTCCAGTTCATTTAGTTAGATTCTTAGTAATTTTTTTCTGTTAAAAACCATATTTTTTTTCAATCCCAGATGTAAATTTATCTCCTATTAAAATAAAATAAAATAATTTTCGCATTCAATAATCTGATATGTCAACTAAAAAAAATAATAAACTTGCTAATTGGCAAATAATGAAACACATGACTTAAATATGATGAAACGTGTCTAAAGTAAAAATCTAAAAAGTTTATAGTTATGAGTCAATTTGTTTATAGTTATGAGTCAATTTGTTTATAGTTATGAGTCAATTTGTTTATAGTTATGAGTCAATTTGTTTATAGTTATGAGTCAATTTGTTTATAGTTATGAGTCAACAGCGGATTTATAAAACAATATGCACTGAAAAACAACTATTCCAATAAAATGACAGATCAGAAACATTCTAAAACTAAATGTTAGAATGCATCATTGTATTAATTATGAAAACAAAGATTCACACCATTATGTTAAAATAGATTTGTTCATCTCCTATTCTCTGAGCGCTCAGCCTCTCTTCTTAAAGTTCTCTTGAACAATGTTGAGATGCTCAGCCTCTCTACTTAAAGTTCTCTTGAACAATGTTGAGATGCTCAGCCTCTCTTCTTAAAGTTCTCTTGAACAATGTTGAGTTCCTAAAAGAAAGAGAGAGAAAAAAAAAGGAGGTTTTTAGACAAATGTTCCAAACCTATTTATTGAATTCTCTCTCAAGTGACTACCACTCCAGAAGATAAACCCTGGATTATGAAGTAACCCTTTTAAACAGTTCACATAAAAAAGACTGGAAAGACTTTACAACATGGAATCAACACAGAGATCTCTGGTGACATAAAAACCAAATTTTGAATAAGAGATAAGATGAGAAATGAGGCAGAGAAATTCCTCACCTCTCACACAACTGAGGAATGCAACATTGGAAAGATGAAGAAA